AAACAGTGACTGCATCTAATCAGCTGTGGTCACTGTTTGGGCTTTCAGACAGCAGAATAGGATAGGCAGCATGGGAGATTCCTCCATCCATACAAATACTGCAGCTGCTGCCTTCGAATACCAGGTCACTTTAGAGATTTCCTGTTACTTCCTGTTGTGTCTTGGAGGGGAAGTGAAGGGAAACTTCATTAATGAAATGAAGACAGTAAAAGACAAATTAGGGCTTAGTTTATTGTGGTTGGGGGCAGTAAAATGTGCAGTTGCACTGTGTTTTTACCACCTCCCCAACCACTCCCTCTTAAAGTGCAACTTTAATCAGAAAAGTAAGTCCTGCTAGATGACTTTAGGCTAGCCCCTTTTGCAGGTATAGCTATGTAAAACAAATATGTGGCTATACTGTCTAAAAAAAAAAAAAAAAAAGGCCTATCTGCTGAGAGCCTAAAGATTTACTGCTGCTCAGGAGGGGTTTGCACAGCCGCACAAAAATGAGCCTCACTGCTGCATTGGGCAGGCAGTACTACCTGCTGAACATGACTCATTCAACTGAATGAGGGTGCTCTGCAACTGTGTACAATGAAAGTGGTTGCAGTGCATTGGTGAAGGGTCTAAGGCGGGGGTCAGCAACCAGTAGATTGTGGCCAGGTGACTATTGGATCGTGGTCTGGGCTTGCTGACCCGCCATCCCAGAGCATCAAACAGTGCAATGCAGAGGGACTACTTGTAAAGTTGGAGCTGTAGTAAGGAGGAAAAGCCACATAAACCGATGCCTCCTCTGTAGTGTTGGCTCCTGTCCCATGCAGAGTGATACCGACTGCACTCCACCTCTTATCCCGGCTAGCGGTCTGGGGAAGGGGGGGTAAAATTGTGACTCAATTGCAGGGTTTTATCAAACCCCTCCCCCTTCCCCAAGATTTACATGTGAACGAGCCCTAAAGGTGCTGCTGGGGGCTCATTCACAAGTACAGCAGGCACTGCTGCTCCTCTGAAAAGCGAAACGAGTATGTTTGACAGGTGGTCAGGAGGCAATATGTTGCCTCCTCACCACCTGATTTAAACCCATGATTGTTGTGCATTTGCAACAGGGTAATATGGCAATTAGAGGTTTCAATAAGGTTGGGGGGGGGGGGGGGTGAAACTGGGCAACACTGTGCTCGGTGATCCGTGACTTCTCCCATGTTGGTCAGGTAGATCTCCACTTCTCTAAGGTTGCTTACTCCTGGTGTGAGGGGTTACAACAGACGGTGAGAAAGTGGTGTAACGCCTCCTCACTGCCAGTCAAATGCCCTCTGAAGAGCAATTCAAACACAGAGACGATGTGTAGAGCCTTTCAGATGCTTAACGACCTCTGGATGTGCTTGGCTGCATTCAGAAACGCATTCCAAACGCAATGACAACAAAAATGAATATTTCTCAATGGGTGAAGTTCACACTATGGTGTTGCAGTTACGTGTTTAGAATAAGGAGAGCAGACTGCTTTTGTTTGCACCGCAACACGCACAAATGTCTGCAGACGCAACACAGCGCATGTGAAGGCAGGCTTTTGGGAAAAAAGGTTGTAAGTAAAATGTAAAAAAAAAAATCCCAAAATGCACTGAAAAAAAAAATGCATCTCAATGCAAGCAAAAAATGTGATGCGCTGCTATATACATGCAAACATGTGAATGTGATGGCTTTATCTGTGTGTTTTTCATTGCATTCGGATGTGAACAGGCCCTAAGGCTTGGTGCACATATATGCATTTTGCATTTGATGCTTTTTTAGTGCTTTTTAAAGTGTTTGTTTTTTTCTGCACATGTTTATGATGCGTTTTTACGCATTTCGCATTTTTGTCCAGTTTTGTTTTTTTTTGTTAAAGTGGAAATTTTTATTGCTGGGCAGAAAAAAATTCAAAACGTGGCCATGCATTTCAGCAGCTTCTCCATTGAACTCTGTTGTAGCAAAAATGCTGCGTTTTTGCTTTTTAAAAAAAGTCCCTGGCCCTTTCCAAAAACACAGCAGCTAATAAAGCATAGACATGAACATGTTCCAGGAAACCATCTTAAATGGAACTGTAGAGCGTTTCTGCAAAAAGCACTAAAAAACGCACTGGTGTGAATGGAATCTAAAACGTCCATACTCCAAAAGTAAAAAAAAAACTGTAATTACATTTCAGGCTGAAAAAGGAGATGTAAGTGCATTTAGTTCAACTAATAGGAAGAAGAAAAAAAAAAGAATAAATAAATGACAGAAAACCTTCATATTGAGAGCCCTATACCTAAAAAAATAAAAATAAAAAAAATAATAATGAAATAAAAATAAATAATAATAATAAAAAACACTTAAAAACTTTTATGGGGATATCTCTACCTTTTTAGCTGTGGCCCTTCTTGAACTGTGTTAGGAGTTCCCTGACTTTTTTTGTTTTGTTTTGCCTGAAGTTGCTTTTTAACCGTACAATGACCTGCGGTAATCCTGCCACATCCTTTTAAAGAGGGAAACGGCTTGTGGTTCTGCTGAGAACACAGAGGGAACACAGAGGGGAAGTTCACAGTTTTTGCTCACTGTGGATTTTCTCTTCTAGCTACACACTGTGGATTGGCACCAAAAAGCATGTCCTTGCAGTCCTGAACTGTGGAGATTTCCCTTTGCAGCAATGAATGCGCACCACTAGAGACGTGTCCTGGTCCTTGACCGTGGACATCACAGCAGCAGTCCCTGCAATAAATATTGCAAATTCCTTCACAGCAGTTGACAACAACTTCCTCTGAACAAAGGAAAAGGATGGCGGTGAATTTGATTAACTACTAGATCAAAATGCATTGTTTGTAATGGCTGCGGATTGTCTGGAGCCCATAGAAGTCACATGTTTGTGTTTTGGCTGGGGTCCTTCAAGGCCCATTCAGACTTGTCCATTCTATTTCTTGGTATTAATGCACACACATTACCTGGCATTCCTTTAGGGCGGGCTATTCAAATGAACAAGCTGCTAACACAGGACTTTGAGGGGCTGCTAACACAGGACTTTTGAGGGGCTGCTAACACAGGACTTTGAGGGGCTGCTAACACAGGACTTTGAGGGGCTGCTAACACAGGACTTTGAGGGGCTGCTAACACAGGACTTTGAGGGGCTGCTAACACAGGACTTTGAGGGGCTGCTAACACAGGACTTTGAGGGGCTGCTGACGCGCGACTTTGAGGGGCTGCTGACGCGCGACTTTGAGGGGCTGCTAACACAGGAATTTGGACAAAAAGAACCAAATCCTTTTTTCTAATGCGGCACACTGCAACGTACAGTAGTGCATACCTGTGCCTTGTGGAGTGCTGCAACACGTGTGTCAGAAGAGTGCTGTCTTAGTGCACTAGGGTGCCATTAGGAATGAGCTTTGCCATACGTTGCAGTAATGCACATGTCAACTCGCATGTTACCGCAGTGCACAGTAACGGAGAGGTGTAAATGGGCCCTGAAGCTGAACTCATTGCAGATACAAAAGACAGAAATGAATGCAGCACAGCATTCATTAACTGCTTCCTGACCACCCTTTAGCAGAAGTACTGCTACAGGGCAGCAGGGATGCGCAAAAACACGTATATGTGATTTTGAGTTTCCAGGTAGAGGGCGCGTGCGCACGCTCCCTACAAGCAACACTATTGGCTCCTCAACATGTCAATCACTGGGTCCCAGCCAAGAATCCTGCCACTGCCACTGACAATGGGGCACTTTTTCTTCCACTGACAGCAACGATGTGGCATAATTCCTGACACTGGGGCACTATTCCTTCCACTGACGCCAACAATGGGGCACTATCCCTTCCACTGACGCCAACAATGGGGCACTATCCCTTCCACTGACGCCAACAATGGGGCACTATCCCTTCCACTGGCGCCAACAATGGGGCACTATCCCTTCCACTGGCACCAACAATGGGGCACTATCCCTTCCACTGGCGCCAACAATGGGGCACTATCCCTTCCACTGCGCCAACAATGGGGCGCCAACAATGGGGCACTATCCCTTCCACTGACGCCAACAATGGGGCAACAATGGGGCACTATCCCTTCCACTGACGCCAACAATGGGGCACTATCCCTTCCACTGACGCCAACAATGGGGCACTATCCCTTCCACTGACGCCAACAATGGGGCACTATCCCTTCCACTGACGCCAACAATGGGGCACTATCCCTTCCACTGACGCCAACAATGGGGCACTATCCCTTCCACTGACGCCAACAATGGGGCACTATCCCTTCCACTGACGCCAACAATGGGGCACTATCCCTTCCACTGACGCCAACAATGGGGCACTATCCCTTCCACTGACGCCAACAATGGGGCACTATCCCTTCCACTGACGCCAACAATGGGGCACTATCCCTTCCACTGACGCCAACAATGGGGCACTATCCCTTCCACTGACGCCAACAATGGGGCACTATCCCTTCGACTGACACCAACAATGGGGCACTATTCCTCCATAACTATTTCTCCGCCTAATACCAAAGATTGGGCATTGTTTACTCCCACTGGGCACAGCTGCCCCCCCTAAAGTCTGAAAGATAGTAAACTGGCCCTTTCTTTGGAAAGTTTGGAAACCCCTGCTATAAAAGGATAACTATTCTTGGATGACATTTCAGGGCCGACTTCTCTTGTGATTTGAGTCAATTGTGCTGCGCATGTTAGTGCAGTGCCATTCACCGTGAGCACCTCAATGCACTGTACAGCAGAACCCCACACACACAACGCACCACACTACAAACACTGCGGTGTGCTCCATTGTAAATTTAAAAAAAGGGCCATGTATATATTTTTCCTCCATGGTGGTGCAAAAAAAAACATTCATAATAATCCAAGTCATATGAATGTGTATGTATTAATGGACTGTACCAGTAGGCTTCAGTGTGCATGGGCCCTAAAGGATATTTGTAGATTTAAACAATGCATGGCAAAAATGGGCAGCGTCTTGTTACCAGAGTATTCATGTACAGCTGTATCCCACATGAACCTAACGTGTTACTAAACCCCGGACCCTGCATTCACTATACCCTCCTCTCCCTGGACCCTGCATTCACTATACCCGCTCTCCCTGGACCCCTGCATTTCACTATACCCGCTCTCCCTGGACCCTGCATTCACTATGCCCGATCTCCCGGACCCTGCATTCACTATACCTGCTCTCCCTGGACCCTGCATTCATTATATCCGCTCTCCCCGGACCCTGCATTCACTATATCCGCTCTCCCTGGACCCTGCATTCACTATATCTGCTCTCCACGGACCCTGCATTCACTGTATCTGGTCTCCCCAAACCCTGCATTCACTATACCCGCTCTCCCCTGGACTCTGCATTCACTATACCTGCTCTCCCAGGACCCCGCATTTACTATACCAGCTCTCCCAGGACCCCGCATTCACTATACCCTCTCTCCTCGGACCTTTCATTCACTATACCCGATCTCCCTGGACCCTGATTTCACTATATCTGCTCTCTCCCCGGAACCCTGCATTCACTATAATCCGCTCTCCCCCGGACCCTGCGTTCACTATATCCGCTCTCCCCGAACCCTGCATTCACTATATCCGCTCTCCCCGGACCCTGCATTCACTATATCCGCTCTCCCCGAACCCTGCATTCACTATATCCGCTCTCCCCGGACTCTGCATTCACTATATCCGCTCTCCCCGGACTCTGCATTCACTATATCCGGTCTCCCCGGACCCCGCATTCACTATATCTGGTCTCCCAGGACCCTGCATTTACTATATCTGGTCAATCCCCGAACCCTGAATTCACTATATCTGGTCTCCCGGATCCTGCATTCACTATATCCGCTCTCCCTGGACTCTGCATTCACTATATCTGGATCCCCGGACCCTGCATTCACTATATCTGGTCTCCCCAGACCCTGCATTCACTATATCCGCACTCCCTGGACCCTGCATTCACTATATCTGCTCTCCACGGACCCTGCATTCACTGTATCTGGTCTCCCCAAAACCCGCATTCACTATACCCGCTCTCTCCCGACCCTGCATTCACTATATACCCGCTCTCCCTGGACTCTGCATTCAGTATACCTGCTCTCCCAGGACCCCGCATTTACTATACCAGCTCTCCCAGGACCCCGCATTCACTATACCCGCTCTCCTCGGACCTTTCATTCACTATACCCACTCTCCCTGGACCCTGCTTTCACTATATCCGCTCTCCCCGGACCCTGCGTTCACTATATCCGCTCTCCCCCGGACCCTGCGTTCACTATATCCGCTCTCCCCGGACCCTGCGTTCACTATATCCGCTCTCCCCAGACCCTGCGTTTGTAAGAGGTGTAGAAAATAGGCAGCCCCATAAAATTTAAATCCAAAGCCTAATACCTAATATAACAGTAATCTATCTTTGTCAATAGAAGATACTAGTGATTGCATTTTTATTGTACCATCACAAGAGGGCAGAACTACTTCCTGTGATAATGGGAAGACACAGAAGTAGGAACTAAAAAGTCTAACACTTTGTTTCCTACAGGGACCGTGATTACAGTGAACATATCCAGTCACATGTAATTAAGGGTTTTCTGTGTTTGTTACAGGTAAGCAGGAGGCTGTTTAACATGATAAATAGGACAAAATGACTTAACATGTCCTGGTTGGTGGTTAGTAAATGTCGCTGTTACTATTATACAATCAGATTACTTGTAGCATAAATGTGAATATATATTGCAGCTATGTGATTTGGCGCCAAGATACAGGGAATGTGATTTCTCTATTGTAATACGCTATTGTTATGCAGAATAGGTCACTAGCATATCTGTAGAGGTCTAGATATTCAGTATTGCAATTAAAGATGTTTATTAATGTATAGGAAAAAACTTATTAATGTATATGGAAATATTTAGTAATGTATAGAGGACAGTGATTACAGTGAACATATCCAGTCACATGTAATTAAAGGGTTTTCTGTGTTTGTTACAGCCATTCCTAAATAAAACACTTCTGGTTTCACCTGACCCATCCTTCGCACAGTTTGAATTATTTACCGTATGTGCAACAAAATTGGCGCCCAACGTGGGGCCGGGTGAAAGGAACGCCAAAAGGTCCGGAAGTGAAAAGGAGTGACTACACTGTCCGTGGTGAAGTTAAAGAAAAACATTAGGAGTATGGATATCGAAAAGTTGCAAGATGAAATCAGTGAACATCTGATTCACATGACAGTCGATGATCTCATGGAGACTTGCCAGTTTATAAAGGCCTCTGAAGCAAGTATGGCAAAAGGAAAAACCCGACGCCATTACATGCGGATAGTGAATGAGGTGTTAGATGAACTGGTAGAGACTGAAAGTGAAGAAGTGGTGACACAATTTCTGCAGGCAACTAAGAAATTCATTGGTGAGTTAGAGAAGAGAGATAACATGGAAGCACCAAGCGATAGTGGCAAAGACCCTCAAGCAGAACAACAGTTAAAGGATTTAAAACAGCAATACTACAGCATACAGGAAAAACTTCAAGAGTAAAACAGCCAAGATGATAGAGGGACAGATGAAAGAACTTAGCACTAAAGACAAAGACTCAAAAGAAAGTCCTGCAAATCAAGACCCTAATCTAGTTGCTCTCAGAGACTTTTTTCCCATACTAACTTGCCAGAAGTTACAATCAGAAAGGACTTTTAAAATTGCTGGTCAAATAGGTGAAAAGGAAACAGAAAGATAAGCTGTCCTATACTAACCTCATGCACCAGATTGACATGGGAATGCAAAAGGGATATCCCGAGTCAGAGCTTGTGGAAGCTGTGGTGAAAGCCATAGTCCTGGGTCAAGTCTCAGAGGCATGCTAGAGCTGAAGAGTGGACTGACCCTAGTGCCACTCAAGAGAATCCTAAAAAGCCATTATAAAGAGGAAAATGCTTCCGAACTATACCAACAATTGATCAATATATCACAGAATAGATTAAAGAGACTCCCCAGAGTCTTCCTACTTTTAGGGCCATTGCATTGAAAGACCGTTTGCTGTTCGTTTCACAAGGGGGACAGGTTCAGATGAACACACTTTGGCACTGAAATTATACAAAAGAAATTCTTTAGGTCAGTGGGGCACCGGACTGAGCAAGTGACCATATCAAGTTTCAACTAAAACAATACTTGGACGAATCCTACAGTCTCAGAATGAGTTGCTCATAGAGAAGATGAATGAGGCTACAAACATGGAGATGGAAAGGGAGCAGAAACAAAAGAAATCTGAGCACAGTAGACACCTGACGAAGGGAAGAGAGTGCCAGGCCAGCATCCTCCATTGTTCTCTGGGTACCAGGCACCCTCCCTATTCTTTCCATCACAAACAAGTAGTCCTGGCAATCCAAACAGCCTTCAAAGAGTAACTCTGACCTTGAAAAGATAGTAATACAGTTGCAACAAGAAATATTCGATATGAAAACACGTCTCTCCAAGGCTCGAAGAAACTCGAACAAGAGCATGGCTTTGGAGGAACCTAGAACAACTTTTGGACGAAGGACAGGGTACTTGTCAATCTTGTGAAAAAGACTGATCAGAGAACTGCATGCGACCATTGCTTTAACTGTGGGGTCGAGCTAGGACATAGGGCGAGACAATGCAGAGCGGCCAAACACAAATCAGTTACAAACGGGAGAAGGTTGCTGTTAAGGGACCGACAGTAACCTGTGCCAGAACCAAACCTGCGTCCCAAAGTGCAAATCATGTCAGTAAGTAAAGAAACCAGTACCCCAACCTACCATCAGAAAGCCCGGGCTGGAAAGTTAAACGCAGACTACTGGAGGAAAACAGCCAACACTGCCCTGCTCCAAAGGCTATCCCCGACAGCTGAAAAATTGCCAACCAATGTGAATGCATCACTTTGAAAAAGCACAACAAGCTACTGGATCTTATTGGAAAGAGATGCCTTGTGAACTGTGAATATAGACAAAAACCACGCTGTCCCAGGCATTATGGGATTACTGGCTCTCTCAGGTTAGCATTTCAACTGAGGGCTGGAGACAGCGAGTACTTCTGCCACACACTGTGCTCCGATCGTTTGAGAGAACTGCTGGGGACCAGGGGTACTCCCAAGGAAAGCAGCAAATGAGACAGAGTATTCCGATCTCAGGTTTGGATTGAGGTAACCTTTCAGCTTACATCAAGCAGTAATACTACCAAGCAGTTATTAGTACCACTAGTAGTCTCTGAGGATGAGAAAGAGTGGCTGAGAAGCCAATTAAATTGGCTATAATATAATTGAAGAAACATTCAAAGAGACAGTTGCTGATGGGAATAAAGTGTTATCCCAGGTTTTGTGAACATATTATTTTTTTTTAACAGTTTTTTTTTTTTTTTTTTTTTTTAAGAACAGTTTTGCCAACACCCCAAAGCAAAGTCCTTGTAAGCTTACTACAAGCCAACTGTAGGGAAACCCTACAGTGCTATCGTAAGAATGACTTGGTACTAAGAACCAAAAGAATCCTGCAAAATACTGTAACATACATCCGTGTAGTGCTCACAAGTGAATTTCTAAGACCAAACCATCCTTGCAGGAGCTCAGTTTTGTTTACACCGAGTGAGGCTTATCACCTGCCGGATGGACTGCATATTGGTGAGACACTAGTCTCATTTCAAAGAGGAACAATCTCCAAACTGACCATTTCCAGTTTGGAATACAACTAAAACAGGGACATTGTGTTACCAGGTCAAACAAAGATTGGAGGTTTGTAGAGCCCATAAAAAAACAACATATCCGGCTCTCACGTACAAATTGAAACAATCAGCAAATGTGTTTACTAATTCGGTGACCATCTGAACCACAGACACGCAAGATAGGACCAAAAGGGAAAAATTGGAAATCGCAAAATTGAGACTTATCCGCAGGTGGGGGATGACAATCAGGAGTGCTGGGACCCGCCAGTGCCTTTGAAACACCTCCCTCCTGAAGATCAAACAAATCATCAAAGAAATGCTAAGGGAAGAATGCCAATGCTTTTGCCAAAGATGACTCTTGATGTAGGATGTATTCCTTCTTTACAGTTACAGATTTCGTCTCAATGAACAGTACACCGGTCACGATGAACTTACATGTCTGTGCCCGAAACCACTGCACCAAGAGTTAAGGAATTATCTGCATGGATCTGATAAATCCGAGGATGGATTGCAGAATCAAAATCCAGGGGAAAAGCATACCATCAAGGAGTTATGGAAGAAGCCAGGTCGAGACCATTGGACAGCATTCATTACACCCTTGGGGTGTGTCTATGTATGAATGTGGATCCGAATACACCCTTTGGTCTGAGCTCTGCACCAGCTGAATTCCTAACGCAGTATGGAGACATGTTTTAATAATGAGACTGAGAGATGACGATTTTGCCTGCCATACTAGATGACAACCTTGTTTCATAGTAAATCATTCAC